ATTTTTGTTTTGCGAAAATATCCGAAACGTCCTTCCCCCGCAGGTTCGGAAAAAAATATAGTTATATTTTAACCAACTTCCTGTTTTCATAACAGGTGGTTACTGTGGGTCCCCTTTAAATAAATATAAGGAATTTTATTGTCTTCTGCGTAAGGAATGTTGGGTGTCGCAACATTTATTGTCCCCAATACACACATTTAAAGGATTTGATTGTATTCTGTGTAGGAAATGTTGGATAAGTTTCCAAACTGATCTACTGCCCATGTCGCAACATTTACTGTCTCCTATATACACATATAAGGGATTTGATTGTCTTCTGTGTAGGAAATGTTGTTTTAGTGGTAAATTGTCAATGATATGATAAAGTCTTATCAGTCCACCAACACAACAAGGTCAAGCAGAACAACACTGTAGTAAATAATGGAAAATAAGAGAGAAAAGGAAAATATAAACATTCCTATTACTGGCACTGCGGATTTAATTTGGCCTTTTTCAACGCTACTTCAACAGAGGGCACTGCAGATCCCGATCCCGATCCAGCACGTCAGCTTGTGGCCCAATGAAATGTTCCATTTCTATAAACCTGTAGAAGGTAGAGGTTGGAAATAGCACTGGTATGTGTGACATATAGGCGACATTTCTCCGAGAACAACTTTCCAATATAATAGAACCTCGTTTCCATATACATAATACTTCAAATCGATTCTCAGGTCCCCGACAATGCCTTTTCTAATCCCAGTGTGAGCCTTATAGTATTCGGAATCTGATACTTCCTCGGTCGAGATACGTCGATTGCTGAATTACATGGTGTTACTTAGGCGAAGGTGTCCAGTGGGATCGCATTAAATAATAATTTACCAGATAAATAAAGCAGCCTATGTTATTATGGAATGATGATAAACTTCGTTTTAGCAACCATTACAAGTTCCCTTGGGTACTAGTCACGATGATACTCCCGGGGTAACATTAGCACTGTCACATTCTCATTAGCGTACCTATTTTATTAATCACAAGCAGGAGTTAAATTACATGCTATTGTTACTTTTTACAATCTTAATTAGATTGTCGAGGAGTAATCAGGTTTTAGAAATTGCATTACGTCGGTAGTCACTTAACTTGATAATACTGCAGTATGGTGTATGCCTGAGCGACCCTCCGCGTGCTGTGTTAGGGATATACATATGGGATAAGGACGTTGCTGAATGCTATTCTCCATGTACGGTATTGATCGGGTTCAAACGCAGGAGACGGTGTCATACTGGAATGTTAACGCACGCGAATCCTAGTAAAACAAATCCTTATTGCACATACATACAAATACCATTATTATATATCAACAAACAAGTTATGTTTCGAGTGTCATTCCATCAAATACGACTCAAGTTAAGCTAGAATCAATACAAGAGATTTTGAGCGATGCTGTTCTCAAAACTAGTTAATGAATAGAGGTAATTATATTCATATATTGAAAATAGTTTGAATACCATCAGGATGACACAAAATATACATGCAGAAAATCACTTTTCACCGAATGATAATTAAACGACTAATTAGCAACTTACTAATAAATCTTTAACTTCAGTAAGTATATATGTTATAACAGTGGTAAAGTTATCTTAAGAACGAACAATATTTCAAAATAATAAATACACCAAAACCCATCTTATATAACAAAGGTAACGTCATATTTACTAACGAATAAATAAGTAACAAGGAATAAGTGTTTGATAAGTCGTTTTATATAACAGTAGTAATAAAAAAACGCGGGAAGACGAAGAAATAAATAAAAATAAATAAAACTTAACGTCGTGTGCTTTACCATTTTATGCTTTCCAAACAAGACCTAATATATTTTTATTTAGAAAAATAAAACCTCGTCTACACGTCTTGTGAATAACCATTATATTCTTTCCAAACAAGACCTAAAATATTATTATTTAGAAAAATAAAACCTCGTCAACACGTCTTGTGAATAACCATTATATTCTTTCCAAACAAGACCTAATATATTATTATTTAGAAAAATAAAACCTCGTCAACACATCTTGTGAATAACCATTATATTCTTTCCAAACAAGACCTAATATATTATTATTTAGAAAAATAAAACCTCGTCTACACGACTTGTGAATAACCATTATATTCCTTCCAAACAAGACCTACAATATTATTATTTAGAAAGAAAAGGAAACTCGACTACACGCATTGTGCTTAACCAGTATATGCTTTCCAAACAAGTCCTAAAATATTATTATTTAGAAAAATAAAACCTCATCTACACGTCCTGTGATTAACCATTATATGCTTTCCAAACAAGACCTACAATATTATTATTTAGAAAGAAAAGGAAACTCGACTACACGCCTTGTGCTTAACCAGTATATGCTTTCCAAACAAGACAAACACTAGATGTACATGTATCATGCAGAGAAAAGTATTACTATGTTGATAAAATGAGAGCATCAGTTATATACTGATAATACGATGGTAACACAAAGCGAACAAACGAACCAATAGAAGACTTCGTATATCGGACATATTTTCATTTTCTGATGTGTCGTCAACTGGGACTCGACTGGTCCGAGAATCATCATTTATTTAGTGAAGTCTGGGATAACGTTGATTACAAGTATCAGCGGTACACATGGTTAGTCAAGGGAATAATCGAGTCTTGTCACAAGATGTTCTGTATAAACGTCGTATGTCAGTGGTAGAAGGGCAATCTTGTAGTAAGAACGTAGGTGTTCTCCATATATATTATCGCATTAACATCATACCAAAGTTTCCTAAGCGTCTTGTCGAGTGTTACAACACACAACATTTCTTGTCTGTGACTCGATAATATTAGAATCTGCGACAAGTGCATTTCCAGACAAGAGAAGTCATGGTAATGACAGCGGACAGTTTTGTTACTTCAACATATAGCACTAACCTCTGTATCAATATGGCCATTATCACCAATTACTACAGCAAGTGGGCCAACAGCACCAACTAAGTCATTACTAAGGCCCATATCACCATCTACAGTACCCCTATAGTAATATATGATAAAGTAATACAGGACAGTGTGATGTAAACGGTTACCGACTACCACCATAGTAGGCTTAATACAAAACCTTGTTGTTAAGAATTGTTTGGTTTGGTTCTAGTTATAGGATGTGGACTCAATTAAACACTAAAGTCATCCATGGACATGCCTCCACGCATGTAATAACTGTAACATAGGATTGTAAGTGCACTGGCAATGGGTTAACCAGTCATTGCGCTTAACCGTAATTGTTCTTGAACGTTTAGCAGAAAAGAACAACTCCGAGTTTGAAGGACTTATTGGCAAGTCATTTATGTGTGCTAAAGGTGCCGTTACGAAAACTACAAATCAAGAATAAAAAAAAAACAAATAAAGCTTATTTGTTGGTTCGAGATTTAACGTCCTAGTTATATAGCCAGCGACCATATGAGGACGAGCGCCTAGGGAGAGACAACAGCTAGCGACCATATGAGAACGGGTGCCTAGAGAGACACACAACCAGCGACCATATGTGGACGGATATCTAGGGAGACACAACAACCAGGATCAAATGAGGACGAGTGCCTAGGGAGACACAACAGCCAGCGACCATATGAGGACGGGTGCCTAGGGAAACACAACAATCAGCGACCATATGAGGACGGGTGCCTAGGGAGACATAACAGCCAGGATCAAATGAGGAGGAGTGCCTAGGGAGACACAACAGCCAGCGACCGTATGAGGACGAGTGCCTCGGGAGACACAACAGCCAGCGACCATATGTGGACGGGTGCCTAGGGAGACACAACAGCCAGGAACATATGAGGGCGGGTGCCTAGGGAGACACAACAGCCAGGATCAAATGAGGACGGGTGCCTAGGGAGACACAACAGCCAGTAACCATATGAGGACGGGTG